GCCATGCCGGGCCTTAAAAGTTAGTATCCTGATGCTTGCAGTGCAGATGACAAGTAGTATACAATTCACTATTTGTGTGGCGTATTTGTATATTCCTTAAGATAATTAAGAAGTAATAGAAGTTTTATATATTATAACTATGGCAAGGTACAACTACTATAACTAAATAATGCCAATGATGCCCTCTGAGTTCATCTTTATGCAAAACAATGTCACATAGTCGGCTATGTGACCTGATGTGCACAAATTTTCAGTTCTGTTTAAGAAATGAAAGAAACACAGAGTATTATCAGCATTTTGAACAATAATGGTATGTATAATAGAGATTGGTACTGAAGCTCGTCCAGATCCTAACAAAACGTTTGGATGTTTTCGGGATGTTGAAGGCAATAAGTTAGCTAGATGATCAAACACAATAAGTCGCTGCAGAATGAATACAAGTATCACAAAGTGTGGTTAGGATGATATAGATTCGCTTTCATACAGTTGACCGGAGACCTGACATGTTAGACAACCCTATAAGATGTTTGACACTATGGCCTCGAAGTCGCTAGTTTTCCAAGTGAATCGAGTTCAGAGTAGCAATTGATCACCTTCCAAACGATCAGAAACGGATTTGATAAAAGTTGCCAGACGACTAATGGCGTTGTTCTGTTCTTCTAATTATTCGCCACAATACAGCTTGTTTTTGGTATGGTCAAAGGACATGTGTTCGTAGGTGAATCACACTTCACATTGCATGCACTTCACATTGCACTTCACGCACATTTCGAGGGTGCCAAGAACAAGATCCAAACCCAATCCCACGGCCGAAAGGCACACATATGGCAGTGGTAGCATACCGGTTTGGACAGATATCACTGATGTGACACTATGAATGCCATATGATTTAGTCTTACAACCATAGTGTTGCCATATGCAGATAAAGTAGGTGTCAACTTTATTATAGTGAATGTTAACATGTACCATCCCCCACAGTGATCACCGTTAACAACTTCCTGGAAGAAGAAGAGTGGACTGGCTAGCACGATCACCGAACTTGACTGTAATTAAACAGTATGATATGATCTAGGAAGGTGTTTGGCTTCACGTGGTTCATCTTTAAGCAGTATTGAAGAACCGGAAGTAACTAATGGAGAAATGAGTCGTATTACCTCAGCAACTCATTGATTCACATTCGTTAAGATTGCCACGCTGATGTACGACATAAAATAGTGTCAAAATAGTCGTTTTCTGATTACTTAATATACTGCAGAGTTTGTAACATCAAATAAGCATTTGGAGACGCACATTTCAACAGGGGACATTTAGATTTGAAATCACTTGACCGGTCGCATGACGCTTGTTTTACATAAGAAAAAACACAAAGATGTCATTGACATTAGTTATAACAATTGTTGTGCTTTGACATAGCTCTAATACAGAAATCTGTGTTTATTTCTTAATTATTCTGAGCAGTGTAGTTTTGGTGCCTTAAAGTGGGTACTAAACGGTGACGTCATTAACACTATTTCCATGCGTCATGAAATAGTCTATTATAAATCAAATATTCTTTGATACAGGTAAACCGATAATACCACCTTTACAGGCGTGTTCTACATCTGTTTTGTTTTTTTAAGTCATCGGTTTAATGGGGAAACAGAGCGTTTAGAAATGTATGATACGCAGCTCCTAACTATCACGCATTTATTTATTTGTATGGCTTAACTTACTGAATAAAACTAGGTGAAAGCGATTCTAGCCTAAAAAGCACTTTATATTTTCACCCTAAAACAATTATCTAATGCATTATATATGGAATAAACACGAAAAAACTTATCGTTTTAGGCATCGCATGTTGTTCTGTTATACAGAACAATTCTCGTTAATTAGTAATTAATAAAAAAAACTGGAACACTTATCAACGTCACTATGTAGGGTATACGAAAAATGCGTTGTTGTTTTCCGCTCGACAACAACAGCCTGTGTATGATTTTTATTACTGTACATATATTTAACACCTTCAATAAAATCATTTATCTTTAGGGTAGACATGTAAAACAGGTTATTCTGAACTGAAACTGAAAAAGACCAGTTACGTAATGGCCGAAGAAGTTATAGCTGTAACCAGACATCACCATTATGTATTCTTTCTTCCCTCTCAAAAATTAATAGGATCCCTGGCACTCTATAACAACATATATTCATATATATAGAATAAAAAATATTTCTTAACACCTGTTTATATTCATATAACACACAATAAACAGAAACGTAAATTAATATGTAATAGGACAGTTCAAAATAAACCCAGTCGTCTGTAATACTGTTACAAGCTGTATATATTTTTTAATATTGTAAGTTATATGTTAGCGAGAAGGCGAATGATGTTAAGATCGAAAAGTGTAATAACGTAGGCGTAGAAAGTTCTTAAAGTTTTGACGTAACTCAGAAGAATTGATTATAAATACGCAATTCAGTGAAGCATCAAAGAAAATATAGTTGTTTCTAGTCAATAGAATAAATCAGTCAGAAAGCGTGTTTGTTTCAGCTCAAGGTAAATCTGTCAGTATTTTTGTTTTCAGTTATTTGATCGATCAGCTGTAAATTTGTATAAGTACGTATATTTTTTTTTTACGTTAGTAAAGTACAGTTAGCATGGTTGTAAACGCGGCATATAAGTAACCACAGTGTTTAAGCTTGTAAAAAACGTTAAGGAAAAAATAAACTAATTTGTTATTGTTACGTGGAGTTGTTTTAACCAGATAATTTAAAAGAATCCGACAACAACAACAAAATAAGAACTTTTTTTTCTGGCTTAGAAAATTTAGTTTATCTATGTGACCTGCAACGTATCAAGGAAGTAGATTGTTTAATGCAGTATATCAAGTTGAATATTTTAAAACATTCCGCGAGTCCTTGTTTCCAAGGTTTCAGTTATCAATAAAAAATAATACGTTGAAGGCTTAAAACAAGTGGACTTATCAAAAAACAAATAAACACGTACATTTTGAAGGCTTAAAAGAGGTGGATTTATATATATATATATAAACACTTACAGAACAAAGTGGGTTTGAGAATTTTAATGGACTGCAACAAGGGCGCCGTAGAAAAAAAAAATTAGGGGGGCAAGTAACTCAAGTTTGAAAAAAAATTAGGAAATCGAAATACAAATACCTTATGATTTTACAATAACATAGAAGAATGATTTTACATATCCAGTATTTTTTTTCTTTTTTGAAAATACAGGGGGGTCAAGTGAACCCCTTGCACCTTTCTGTGGGCGCCTGTGGACTGCAAGTACCCGTTGAAATAAAATGAGACAACGAAAAGGTCGTCTAATTTTTTCAATAGGCCGTTGCAGTTCATTAAACTTTACAACTTACCATGTATTCTCTGCCTAAAGTTCAATTGAAACAACATGATAAAGTGTGAAATATATTTCTATACAGTTTTCTTGCATGACCCCCCCCCCCCCCAATTTCCACCCAGAATCATTGTAGTGATATTATGTCGTAGTACACGATTTTACTTTTCTAGCTGACAACTACACGAGGAAGGCGTGTTTCTTGTGGAAGACGCTGTGTACGTGATAAACCACACGTGATAATAAGTTTTGGAATTCTCTAAGTTTGAAGAATTTTAAACATTACGTTTTGTTTTGTCTTCTAAGAAGCTCATTTACAACAGGGCGTGCTTATAATTTTTTGTGGTGTCTTTGATTTCAAGAAAGCTTTTTCTTTGCATATACACTTGATGCATTGTGATCATGCCTATAAACAAAGTAACTGGCTCTTGAACTGTATGCAGGTGAGACGTAGTTAAAAGCTTGCTAGCTGTTGTATTGTGTTGTAAGCAGAATAATACACAAGTAATTTCGAAAAACTTACATATTTTTAACTCCGTGATTACCAAAACCTGAGTACACTATTTGCCCACATTTAGAGTTATTTAATAGAATAAATATAATCTAAGTATTACGTGTTCTCTTCTGTAAAAGCTCCGTGGATAACAGAAGCTGGTTACAAAATATACTTATGTCGGCCATATACGTCTGTTTGCTATTCTGGTAATAGGATGATAAAAAAGACAAAAATTAAATAAAAGAGTATAGTATTATTAGTATAAGTTAATATTGATTTTGTGTATATTTCTCAAAACAAAATACATTACTCAGCAGATCAGTAAATACAGCCAAGCTAGTTATTATCGGGAATCTATTATTTATATTATTATAATTAGGTGAACGAAGAATATTTTTCCTCATCTGTGATTTAATGCTCGATTTACTTAACACTCCTTAACAATGTAACTGAATTAAATTACGTTTGATGTTTTTACCTCATCCTTTCCTTCAGAGTTCAAAGAAGAGTTATGTTGCGTCAGCGAGGTCACGTGACTAGTGTCACGCCACGTTTCTAGAAGTATCTTGTTCCTTCGTGAATGCCCTAGCATTTACTAGATATAGGGTAGTCAGGTATATATAAGATGGTCACGGCGTGACGTGACAATATGTGTGTAGACAGTGAGTAATAGATCTGCAGTCAGAGAGTATTGTTGAAGTTAACGTTTGTTTTAGCGCGATTGTTGAAATTAAGTGTATCGTAAAGTTATATTCGGAAAGAATAAACCAGCTTTATTAAGAAAGGACTTGTGTCGATAAAGTTTCGTCGGAACGAAGTTACGGAAAATGAATTAACAAACGGAGACGTAACAGTTACTTTCCTTATAAAAAGTAAACGATTATTTATTTGTTTCTTTATTTGAAGATAAGCACAAAGCTACACAATGGGCTATCTGTGCTCTGCCCACCACAGGTATCGAAACCTGGTTTCTAGCGTTGTAAGTCCGCAGACAAACCGCTGTGCCACTGGGGGGGGGGGGTTAAGGTAAACGATATGTCAGTTTTAAAATGTTCTCAACGTTTACTTACAAAGCACTAATTTTTAATTTTAGTCTTCTCTGTGATGCTGTCGTTTTTTGTTTTTGTTTTGTCATATAATCAATACTTTTATTTTTAGGCCCATATGGTTACTCCTGGACAAGTAGCAATAGCTCGGGTTTTCAGGGCTGGGACAGCTCTTCTTCTGACACCAGAACAACTACACCCTCTCCTCCTAGCCCTTCTCTTTCCATGGAAACTGTCGCCGCACAGAATAATGTTTCCTCACCAGGCCAGGTGTCAGATGAGGGTATTGAAATGGACGAGACAGTAGTTTTTATGGAAGAGCCCCTTTCAAGCAAACGTAAGGTAAGTGTCTGAAAGTCAGGGTAAATGACCCGTGATGTCTGAGAACTTTTCTAACCTTGACTGGCAATTCCGACAGCAAGTAAGGGGAGGAAAATAAAGGGCTGGTTTAACTTTTTAGTATGTGAAAAAGAAACTCGTGAATGATTCCCTGACGTTTAAGTTTATAAAGAATTCTTAGAGAGGCATCTCTTTTTATTTTCCTTTTAACAGCTTTTGCATCACATATTGTAGTAGTTTCTTAACTGTAGAGAAGAAATTCTCTGTTTTTTTTATATCTTCACTTTCATGTTGATCTGTGTTACATAATCTCTTTTGTCTTTCGTATAAAAATATTTATATGTATTCTAACGAAAATTATGTAATTATGTAGCACTATGTATACGTATAATAGGCGCTAATGTACAAAGTATTAATTGTACTTTATTTGAATAACATGTTAAGGAGGTGAGAGTCGCTGCAGGTGCTAGCTATAACGCCCATGTTTAGTAGGTACAAGTTTGATTCACGCGAAGCCTAGCCGAATACTCGCCACTGCATTGGCACTACAGGTAGAGTGATGGCTTGATGGATATGAAAAAGCCTTTACAAAAAAATAAATATTCATTTAGTGAAATTCTTAAATTCCAAGGATACGACCTTTAATAGTAGATGGCCTTCAGTGTCCTATATTGAAACTCAAAAACTCGCCCAACAGAACGTTTAGTATAACAACGGTTCTAGAAACTACATCCCAACCCGTTGAAGTTAACCATCACCATCCTTTGATGGCACTACTATTTCTCTGGAAAAACCACTGAAGTACCTTTGACAGACAACTTAGCTTCACCAATCATATTAACACCATGATAACTAGAACTACCAAAAGCACTAAAAGTTGCAAAAGGAAATAAAGTTGAAGAATATCACCTGCTTATGCTCTACCAAAGTTTTATCTGTTTCATCCTTTATTTTTCACTACCGATCATCAGCATGGATTTTCTTGTTTACTTTAGAGCAAAGCCACAGTAGGCTATCTGCTGCGTCTGTCGCGGATTTTAGGGTTATAAGTCCGTAAACTAACGAGGGGCGATCAGCTTAACTGCTGAACAGATAAATAAGATTGAAAAGATACAAAACATATATTTAACACTGATCACAGGATGTATTTCTGCCACCCCATCAAAGCTCTGTTACACATCACAAGTCTCAGCAGCATCACAAAACACCTAGAGAACTTGTAAGTATATGGGTGTGTTGAACAAAGGATTCTTCTACAGTAGGTGCCTGTGACTTGTTGGCGATGAATTCGACGATAAACAAACATCACGCACTCCACTTGTTTTTAAAATAATATTTATATTCGAAACAAGTTAAACATATATGTAAAATTCATTACACTATGGAGATCATAGTCGTATCTTAAAAACTACACAGTTCTCTTCTTCTTGTCAAAAGTCCACCTAGGCCAATTCAATTGCATTAGAATTCAGTTGACTAGCCGTGCTATTTTTATTTGTTTTTATCGCAATAGAATCCGTATATAACTCACTTATGCTGTCGCGTAAGTTACCACAATTATATCCTGAACTTCCAATGATTGTCTGCTTTTCGTCAAAGTCCATACAGACGGTTTCAATTAGCTTAGAACACCTTTTGACAAGACATTGGGCATTCCCAGTTTGCCCCTGAAGAAGAAAGGTCCACCCATCGAAATCGCTCGGGTTATAGGGTTTTTATTCATTTTTTTGACAAGACAAATTATTCTCCATATCTCTTTCAAACTATTGATCTCACTCTAACATATTAATTGTTAGGCCTTTCCCTCCTACGACGGTTAAATTAGCGTTTTCTAACTTTTCTCTCACCGAATTTCTTTTTTCCTGTGACGTTACTTTTTGATCTCTGCTGCCGCTCATCTGGTCGTAGCTATTTATACGTCTATCACTAAGGCCTTCTAGAAATCTCCATACTCTCGGCATCAATGGATTGCAAACACAACGTTCGTTAGTCTCGACATCAATGAAATATAAACACAAAATAAATTGATTGATAATAATAGGTATACAAAACAGTCTTTTATATCTGACACAGTGTAAAGACAATGAGTTCCATCATCGAGCTGCAGCCCTTTTAAATTGGGACAGCCCCTCAGTGGCAGAGCGGTATGTCTATGGGCTTACAACGCTAGAAACCGGGTTTCGATACCCGTGGTGGGCAGAGCACAGATAGCCCATTATGTAGCTTTGTGCATAAATTGAAAAAAAAAGGGGACATTCCAGCTCTACAATATTCCCGCAGACACTAACCAAACAGGGGGATATTACATAAAAGGTGCTTCTGGAGACAGTCACTGGATAATTTGTCACCATCAGACCTCGGATTTATCCGTGTAGAATAAACTTTTGGCACTACTGGAATCTGTGAAACAGTCTAGAGAGAAATGTAGACATCTGTCAAAGTGTGAAGCAGAAACAGTCTGTCAGCACTATCACCTGTCATCATAGCCACGAACGGTTTCTTCCTCAAATATAGTGAGAGAGCTGGTTGAATATTTATCGTCTCCTGGAGCAACAACATTCTGTATAACGCTAGTGGAACATCCAAGCTTCCACAAGCAACACATGGACGGAGGGGTGGAGAGCATAAAACAAGCTGTTCTCTGGATTGCTGTAAGCAACGAACTGCGAATGCACAATATACCAGGTAATATAACCGGTAATGTAGGGTAAAGCAAGGAAGATGATAAGCTCGCAGGTGAAGGCCCTTTGTCAAATCCAGCCAACTTTACTGGCAGAATATCAACCTCCTCTTCATTAATAGGATGAAAGCGGCAACAATGGAAGGCCATCATTGACATTTAGAAGGAATGAGACTGCTAAAAACAGAATACTATATAGTATAGCTAAGAAAATTAGTAGATGGGAAATCGGTAGGGCATATAGATGGCCATTGGTAACATCATTAACGGAGCTCTTTTCTATCTCCTGCCATAGGAGGGGTTAGTACCAACTGGCACGACTGATGGGATTGTCATCTAGTGCTCAACTTAGCTCAACCGTTAACATTAGCGAGATAATAAACAACGATGTGAAGTGTACAAAGGCTTACAAGCGAAAAGGTCATAAGTTTCCTACCAAATCTCAAAATCAATAGCTATTTTCATGAGAAATATGTCTTAAAAAAAATTGGAATCCCAGCAACATCAACGAATTGTTGTACCTTTGGTCTTCTTTAATATGTTCGTGAAATCTGACGCCGACTTACAGTAGAAGGTCTTTAGAAAATCTGTCAAAATGCGCGGTCTAAGATAGACCTCACTAGCCTTCCTAGGAGTTGTATTGTTGGGTAATAGCTAATAATCATAGCCATCAAACTGAGCATAATCAATGACGAAGAAAATAATTCCAAAGGCAGCACAGGACCTGGGTCATTATTATTTATGGTATGTTTTATCTATAAAATGTTGATTTGGTACTGACCAATTTTAACAAGTAGTAAAAACCCGTGAGCCTATGGCCCACATTTACAAGGCCGCTATAATACAAATTTAATGCTTGAACTACTATTTTGCACTTTTTCATTTTAATTATCATTGACGCTCTGCCGATAAAATACAAATGTTATTTCTTTAGTAGACATACTTATTTACCTGTTCTAATGTAAATCAATGTCAAATTTTAGGGTCCGCTTTCAGGAAATCTCCGTAAGTGTTTTTGCGAAATACAGGGGTTTCCTAAAGGGTTGGATGTGCAAACGTCAGGGCCTAGACGATTCGTTTCGTACTATTTAGAAGTCGGTGCGACCATCAGGTTAGGAGGAGTTGCATGATACAGACACTGGATCTTATTACATATATACGTAGTATGTCATGATATGTGTTAACCTGCGTATGTTTGTTTTATTATTAAGCACAAAGCTACGCAATGAGCTATCCAGGCTGTACCCACTACGAGTTTCGAAACCCGGTTTCTAGCCTTGAGACTTACTGCTGAGCCACTAGGGGTCGTTTAGTTTATATTATCTACATCTTAGATTCTGTACGTGATTTGCTTTGAAGAAATAAAATCGAAAGACAGTTGTTTGGAAAATTATAGTTTTACAACTTTTATAGAAACTAACTTATAGTTTCACAACTTTTATAGAAACTAACTTATAGTTTCACAACTTTTATAGAAACTAACTTATAGTTTTACAACTTTTATAGAAAATTATAATTTTACAACTTTTATAGAAACTAACTTATAGTTTCACAACTTTTATAGAAATAACTTATAGTTTCACAACTTTTATAGAAACTAACTTATAGTTTCACAACTTTTATAGAAAATTATAGTTTTACAACTTTTATAGAAACTAACTTCTTATTTTCATGCCCTCTCAGTGGCACAGCGGCATGTCTGCGTGTTGGGCAGAGCGCAGATAGCCCATTGTGTAGCTTTGTGCTTAACTACAAACAAACTTAATTTCATTGAGTTCCCGAAGTTAGTTATTTAAAAAGTTATAATAGTAATTTAGACTCGTATAGTAATAGATACAAAGAGCATGTGTTATAGAACACTCATTTTAGCGACTGACTAAAATCACCTTATAATAGGATCAGTATATACGTACTGTATTTAAGAATCTCGGACCAAAATTATACTAAGTTACTAGAATATGAGTATATTTCTATTTTTGCTTGTGTGTAATACGGTTGTAATTAGACGAAAGAATATTTAAGAACATAAAGATTATAATATATTCATATTGCCACATGGCATATGACTACATACATGTAAGACAGAGTAGTGGAATTTTCTTTTTAGAAATAATTACCATCAGATATATTATAATGGTTTACATTAAAGTTTTGCGTTTCATAGGTTTCTTAGATTATCGATAAAATCATAAAAAAAAACAAAGCTGGGTCTTGCTGGACGGTTATAGCTGTTGGTTTCTTCCTTTTTTCTTCCTATCTAGTTGTTATGGTATCGACACACCAATATTTGGAAGTCACAACTACTGTCGGCTGTACAGCTAAA